CCCCTCCCCCCTTTTCTCCCCTCCCTGCCATTTCCCGTCGCCCGTCGCGGCTCCTTCGGGGGCCGCAAGCGGCCCCCTCAGGTCGCCACGACGGACGACGGGAGGGGCGAGCTGTTGGGTGGCGGGTATGGGGGTGCTCGGTGGGCCTTCCTCCCTTTGCTCCTCCTCCTCCTCCGTCTCCCACTGCTGCAGCTGTCGCTGAGGGGGGTGGTTGTGTGGGAGACTCGGGTTTAAGGTTTAAGGGGGGTGCGTGGGAGTGGAGCTAGGGGTGTATCAGCGGGTGTGTGTTGGGGGAGTTGGATAGTTAGGGAAGCTGCATGGAGGTTGCCGTCGTGTCGTCAGCAGCACCTGTATTCCGGGGGCTTCGCCCGGTAGCCCAGTCGTAGCCAGCTGTGCCAGCCGCCCGTGGGTCCGTTGCTCGTCTGCCGCTACTTTAGCCGCGGGGCCAGTTACTCCAGTAGTCCGGGGGCTTCGCCCGGTAGCCGCTGTGCCAGTGTGCCTCCTGTTGCCCGTGTGTCTGCAGCTTCAGCCGTCGCCTCCCAACTCCTCTCGCTCTCACTCCTCCTCCTCACTTGCCCGTTGTGACCACCACTAGCTTTGCTGATAATTGTGCACTTGAACTTGCTTCTTGAACTTGTGCTCAGAATGTGTGGTGACATTGTGATCCACCCTGAGCTTGTACTGCTTTGCTTGCTCTGCTGATTACACCCCACTTTGGCTATGGGGGTGTGTCAGAATGTTATTCTTATGTTCTAGCCTGTAGTGGGGTGCTCTATAGCGAGTACAACCCTTCTAGGGTTTGCTATTTGTGTCCCCATTTCAGCTAGTTCAACCCTCTTTTTCTTCTTCTAACTTTTGACACACATGACTTCGTCACCACCATGCAGCAGCTATGGGAGAAGACTCGGCGACGTCTCACCACGATGCACAACTCCCAGAAGCAGTATGCCGATCGTCAGCGACGAGATCACTCAGTAGCAGTCAGAGATCAGGTGCTTCTTGACACGCGCAACTTGAACCTGTCTCACCTCCCATCCAAACTCCGGCCTCGCTTCTGTGGTCCTTTTCTCGTTGAGGCACAGGTGACACCAGTTACATTCCGCTTGCGCTTACCAGATACATGGAAGCTTCACAACGCTTTCCATGTCCAGCTACTGAAGCCCTACAAGGACCCCAACCAACAGCTCGAAGATACCGCCACCACCACCGGTTCTCGTACAGGATGAACCAGAGTACGAAGTGGAGCGCGTTCTCACTCATCGGTGCCGTGGCGGCAAGACCCTTGAGTTCCTGATACGCTGGAAGGGATACGACCCTACTGAGGACAGTTGGGTTGCAGAAGCTGATATGGGCAACGCACGCCGTGCTCTCAAGGACTATCTTGTCAAGCAGGGTGTATCTCACGCCACCCAGCTTTGAGGGGGGGACGTGTGAGAGTACGACGGCTTATGCCAGCTATGCTTGCTTGCCTCTACTTTATCATGCTATTTCTAGCATAGGATAATCATATGCATGCATGAATTGCTTGATATCCTAGGCTAGGTGCTTTCCTATATTTTATTATAGTTATAGCACCGAGCTAGGTTACGTGCACCGAATTCTGGCCTTTTCGGTTGCCACCGAATTGCCTTCTACCGAATCCGGTAAGGATCTGTTCGGGACGCTACGCGACCCGCGGAACCTTCGCGTAACACCTGGTTACGGGGCCTTGTGTTGAGCCTATATATAGCCTCGTGTTGTACCCAGGTGATCATTCAATTCGACTCAATTCTCATTCTCTTTTCTGAGCTCGAGCCTAGATCCTCACAGCAGCCAAGCCTCATCATGGGCGGCAGGTCACTGCGCGAAGTCTTTGCAGAGTTCGACCGGTATAAGAAGAAGGACAAGAATTCCAGCTTCATCACCGCATATTCCCGGTTTGCTGACAAAGGTACGCCCGGGATGGCTGTGGGTGCATGCGAGCGAAAGATGCGTCGCGTGCATCGTGTCATGGTTTCCGTGGAGACGCTAAGAAAAGACAGCTCCGAGGCGGCGACCGCACCGGCCATTAAGCTGCTGGACGAGGTTTTACTCGTGTGCAACTTCACGGAATTCACCAACGGCCTGGCGGTGCTGCATGAGACTCCGCCTATCAAGAAACAGAAGACCAGTTCGTCAACGGAAAAGAGGACCGTCAACGACTTGGCGCAACGTAGAGTGGGCTGGCTGTTAGTCAAGAAGGGCCTTCGCGACCAGGAGTGGGCAACTTCGCTGTTTGGGGATGATGAGTGGGAGGAGATCCACAAGGAACACATGGCGCAGGAGAAGGCGGAAGAGGAGAAACAACGAACCGCTGCGGCGAAGAAGGCGGAACGGGAAAAGGCGAAGGGCGAAGCGTCAAAACGCTAGGAGCAAAAATGAGGGGGCATGTACCTTTAGGGTGGGGCGGTTTAGTTATTTGGGTACTTTATTCCTGTTGTACTGAATATGCACTACAGGCACTTGTCTGTCTCTGTAGAAGCCAAATTTGGGGCTTGTATGCCACCTTCTTGCTTGGACGCGCTGTTTTTCGTAGAATGTTTTTCTGGTCTATGCATTGAAGCACACATCGATGGTATACACCGGGCGAAATTCTGCGGACTCATGTCGTATACGATGTTATTCTATAGAGCGGCGTCGACGAATTCACTCTCACGATTGTAGATGTGTGTTCTTAGGCCACTCGGTAGACTTTTGCGTGGATGTATTCAGTCTCAGCATATGTTTCTTGGCAAAGGAGTGTCATATTCTACTAGTAGCAACGAAGATCCTATCCATGACGGTAGATATTATTCATACGTGGGTTTTTCTGCGGTATAGTGTCGTTTCCGATTTGCCTCCAGAATTTGGCGTCGAGGAATTCAATCTCCATAGCAGAAAGGTCTGTGCATAGGAATACCGTATACGATTCTTAACAAGGTGCTCCCTAAGACAAGATGTTATGCGATTGTTTAGCCACATACTTCTACCTCCTCGTAGAAGCCGAGTATTAAACATAGATTAAGTGTCGTAGAAGGCCGTCCTGCCGTCAATTATTTAATTCGGCTGGCCCTCCCTTTGATGGCGAGTTCTATCGGCTGCATTTCTAGCTCCATACGCGCCCTACAAATTTCGCGAGTGTAGTGAAGGTTTGCATAGCAAAAATACATCTCTCATTGTATTGTATATAACAACACCTATATTTATACACGGTTGAAAAAAAAACGGAAAGGAAAATCTATTTCTACTGCGATACTAACAAGACCTCCAAAGAACCCGTCTGCCTCTATCACTCCTGGCCGCCAGTGCCGGTGATCTCCTCCGTCGACGCATCCTTCGTCGCGTTCCCCTTCGCGGACGATTTCTTGGTTTTCTTCTCCTTATCCGCCCCTGTTGTGGTATCCCGGCCGCCCAACTTCTTCTGCAGGACTCCGAGGCAGACGCCCTGGTGCTAGCGAAGGCCTCTTGATGCCATGCTGCATTGGCACCAAGAGGTCACCACCTTTGCCACCACCCTCGTCATCCGCTTCGTATCCCCGGCCGCTCGCGACTCTGCCGGAAGCGCTTTCAGCAGCGCATCCGACAGGGGCAGAATCCACACTTCCTTGTCATGCTCCTGATCCTTGACCGACCTCATCGCCTCAACCGCAACGCAAGCAACCGAGGCTGCACGCGTCGCAAGGGCATCGAGGACGGCAGAGGACACATCGGCTGCAGAAGATGACGAGGCAGCCGACGAGGCGGTGGCAGCAGTGGACGATCTGGCAGCAGAAGATGCTATGGCCATAGAAGTTCCACGTGCAGTTGATGTTGCGCCCGTCTCCCACTGGGTCTGGTCCACATTCGTGGATGCGGCCCACATTATAGACAACGTGGCGGCAAGTCCGACTGCGTGTTCTTCTGTCGAATAGCTGTTTTCACCCTCCATGCCTCCCACCATCTTCTGCCACGCAGTTATTCCAACACCAGCGCAGGCAGCTACCTGAAAGCCATCCCCCTGCTGCTGCCGAAGAGCCGTGTTGGTTTGAACGAGTGAGAATCTGCACAAGACACCAGTGTCGCAAGATCAGAACCATCGAACTTCGCGGGTGTTTAGAAGTTGCAACTGTCCATCACATAAACACTCACCCGTCCGGTTTGTCCAGGTGGAGCTCGTTGATGACGCTCCACACCCCTGTTTGAAGCCACGTTGTGAAGTCGAGGTCTTCCTGCCACTTGTTAATACGGTTTGGATTCATGCCGTATGCCTGCATGTCAATATCCGGGAAGTAGAACTTCCAGCAGACTGCGACCGTGTATGCCCTCTCCCACACCGTTTTGTGATAGCCGAGGTTCCGCTTCCGGCCGCCGACGGTCTGCTCAGACGTCCACTTCTGCAAAGCTCCCTCGCTCCGTTGAGAGAACCCGCTTCCCCTGAACGGCAGGCAGACACCCAAAGTCTTACCCTTGTCGTCCACTACGGCGTTTTTCCTGTTGTCACACTTGTCGATCTTCATCCCTTTCTTTTCCCCTGGGATTATCGGTATCAACTCTTGTATACCAGCTGCACACCGTCTCTTAGCCGCATGACCCTCCGGCTCCCTGTCCTCCTGTCTAGGCCGCCTCCTGGACACCTCTACGTTCTGTCATGGAACAATAGCCGCGTCCTCTGCTACATTCGCCTCCCCGCTCTCAATCAACAGCAAACTCCCCAGGCCCTCAGCTATTTCCTCCTCAACTCCCTTCCAGGTCCCCTCCCCCTGCATGGTCAAATCCTCCTCTTCCATCTCCCTTGCCAATCGTTCCGTCTCTTCAGCCATCGCCTTTGCCTTTGCCTCCAGTTGCCGCTGCTGTTCCGCGTAGGATGCAAGACTGGCCCTCTTCTCTGCTCGGCACTGCTACGCCTTCTGCAGGCGCTCCATCTCCTGCTGTTTCGCCCTCTGCCGCCGCTCGGCCTCCTCTGCCTCCTTCTTCTGCGCCTCCTCCTTCTGCAAGCGCTCCATCTCCTGCTGTTTCGCCCGCTGCTACCGCTCGGCCTCTTTTGCCTCCTTCTTCTGCGCCTCCTCCTTCTGCAGGCGCTCCATCTCCTGCTGTTTCGCCCACTGCTGCCGCTCGGCCTCCTCTGCCTCCTTCTTCTGCGCCTCCTCCTTCTGCAGGCGGTCCAATTCCTGCTGTTTCGCCCTCTGATGCCGATCTACCTCCTCTGCCTCCTTCCTCTGCCTCTCCTCCTTCTGCAGGCGCGCCATCTCCTGCTGTTTCTCCCTCTCTTGCCTCTCGGCCTCCTCTGCATCTTTCCGCTGCGCCTCCTCCTTCTGCAGGCGCGCCATCTCCTGCTGTTTCTCCCTCTCCACCCGCTTTGCTTCCTCTGCCTCCTTCCTCTGCGCCTCCTCATTTTGCTAGTGCTCCTTCTCCTGTTGTTTCTCCCTTTCCTCCCGATCGACCTCCTCAGCCTCCTTCCTCTGCGCATCCTCCTTCTGTCGCCGATCTCCCTCCGTTGCCTTCCTACCCTGCTCCTCTTTTTGCCGCCTCTCTGCGTCCAATCTCAGAACTACTGACAGCCGCTTTTCCACCTCACATAGCTTCCCCTCCTTCCACCCCTTCATCCCCGTCTTCATCTCCTTCACAGCCTCCATCACTTCCTTCATTCCCGCCTCCACCTCCTTCTGCCGTCGCTCTTCCTCCTGATGTTTCTTCTTCCTCCGCCGCTCTGTGGCCTCTACATCCTTCCTCTTCTCCTCCTCCTCCTTCCGCCATTGCTCATCCAGTTGTTTCTTCTTCTGTCTCTCCTCATCGTCCGCCACTTGTTTCCTCTTCGCGTCCTGCTGTTGTTGCCGCTCCACGTCCTCTTGCCTCGCCTTCTTCTGCCGCTCAGATTCTTCTCGCAAAACCGCGCTCAGCCTCCCCACAATCTGGTTTACCATCCCATCCTTCATCTCCTTCATTTCTGCCTTCATCTCCTTCATCATCGCCTCCTTCATCTCCTTCATTCCCTCTCTCATCTCCTTCTGCCGACGCTCTTCCTCCTGCTGTTGTTCCTTCTTCCGTCTCTCTGCGGCGTCTGCTTCCTTCCTCGTGGCCTTCTGCCTCCGCTCCTCGTCCTGCAGTCTATCCCTGTTCCGCCGCTCAGAGTCTTCTCTCAGAACCTCTCTCAACCTCTCTTCCACCCCCCTTAACGTGCCCTCCGCCATCCCCCCTCCCGACTGGCGAGCCTGATCACTCACCCTTACGATACTCTCCCACAAGCTGGAGAGTCTCGTGTCCACCTGCTCGCGAAACCTGGCCGCCGTTTCAGCTTGGCGCCACCGTTCCCCGTTTCCATGGCGGACTTCTTCTAGGTTGGCCAGGGCGTCGCGGCAGTAATGGACGATCAGATCGGCCACGTCGCGACTGATGCTGCTGTTGCGGGCCGCCAAGTTGCAGAACGTCTGCGTCACCATTCGGGCTAAGAGCGTCAGACGACGCGTTACCTCTGCCGGGCTTATGTCCCAGCTTTCGGCCTCGACGAACCTGTCACCTTGTTCGACTAGGACTACACTCGTGCGCTGCAGCATCCGCCGTATTGCCGTCTCTGCCTCGACCCACTCTACCTGCCGAAACGCTTCTGCCACCCCGCCTTGGCCGAGATTCCTCTCCACTGCTCTCTGGTGAAGGGTAGGCCGCCTCTGCCTGTTGAGATCCACTGTATCCCTAGGCGCCGCAATGTCTGCCACCCTCCATGGCCCCTCTACCCTGGTTCCTGGTCCCCGCGTCGTACTTCCTCCCAAAAATATCCGGACTGCCGGATGTACCGTATCCTCCTCATTCTGCTCCTCTTCTGTTTCCAGCGCATCTCCCTCGTAGTGCCCCACTCCAGCCTCCGGGACCACACGAACCTCCTCCATAGTATTTTGACGCTCTGTCTCTGCCATGCTCTGCGTCTCTCGGTATGCGAATACCTGCGACGCTGCCTCCTCGTCATGCTGCCCCTCTTCCTCTGCGATGATGTGCCCCTCAGCACCCACCGTCTCCCGTCCCTCTGTCTGTATCATTTTATTCCCATCTAAACCCTCCTCTCCATCTGGCTTCCTACGTGCGTCTGCCTCAGCCTGCTTCTGCTCCTCGGCCTCTGCCATCTTCTGCGCCTCACCATCCGCCTTCTGCCGCGCCTCTACAACAGCCTTCTTCCGCGCTTCTGCCCGAGCCAGTTGTAGCGCCTCTTCCGCAGCCTGTTTCTGCTCCTCTGCCTCCGCCTTCTGCCGCGCCGCTGCTTCTGCCTTATTTCGTGCCTCTCCTTCCTTATGTGCGTCTGCCTCCTCCATATGCAGCGCCGCTGCCTTATCCTTCTGGCTCACCGCTGCCTCTGATTCCTTGTGCGCCTCTGCCTCAACCATCTTCGGCGCGGCACCCTCCTCCTTCTGCTGCGCCGCTGCCTCTGATTCCTTGTGCGCCTTTGCCTCAACCATCTTCGGCACCGCACCCTCCTCCTTCTGCTGCGCCGCTGCCTCTGATTCCTTCTGCGCCTCTGCCTCAACCATCTTCAACGCCGCACCTTCCTCCTTCTGCTGCGCCGCTGCCTCTGATTCCTTCTGCGCCTCTGCCTCAACCATCCTGGGCGCCGCACCCTCATCCTTCTGCTGCGCTGCTGCCGCTGATTCCTTATGTGCGTCTGCCTCATCATTATGCTGCGCCGCTGCCTCATCCTTCTGGCTCGCCGTTGCCTCTGATTCCTTCTGCGCCACTGCCTCCACCACCTGCAGCTCGACTGCCTCCGACGTCAGCTCTGCTGCTGCACCCACTTCTTTACGCGCGACTGCCTCCGCACTCTTGACCGCCTCTGCACCCACCTTCTGCTGCGCCGCAGCCTCTGCTTCCTTTGGCGCCCCGTCCTCTGCCATAAGTGCCGCCTCTGCATCGACGAACCGATGGGCCGCATCCTCTGCTTTCTGGTGCGCCTCTACCTCCGCCATCTTATGAGCCTTTGCACCCGCGTTGCTCTGCGCCTTCTTTTTCGCCTCTCCCGAATTCTCTGGCACGTCGACGTCCCCTCTCCGGGCCTCTTCAGCCGCCTTCCGATTTACGCTGGGCAAGCAAACTTTCACGTATCCCCTATCCTCCTCGATATGCTGCCGCACATTGCTGGCGAGCTCCTCTCCTGCCTCTCCCACGTGTGCCCTTGCAGCGGCTCGTGCCCCACGCTCCCATGCTTCACGTATGTCTCCAGTTCTCGGGAAAGAGACGGTAGGATCGGTGTCGCCATCACGGCGCCGTTGCCTCTCTTCTGCCCGTCTCCTCTTGGCTTCTGCTTCGGCCATCCGCTTATCATCAGCCGCCTTCCTCCACTGCTCCTCTGCCTGTTCGACCTGACTTGGCAGCTGTGGATCTTCTACACCCTCCTCGCCTTCATCTGCTAAACTTGCCAAGTCGGTCTCCTAACCCTATCAGCAAACCTGAGCTGCCTAACTCCAGACCTAACACGCTCGTCTGCACGGGCTGACCTTGATGTCAGGCCACTCAGTAGTGCACCCCCCGGTGCAGGTCGGCGAGAATATGAAATTTCCCCTACTCTTGGATTTGCGTCCCGGTTTGCGGCAGGTACGTCTCTCTGTCCCTCTACCACTTCGGATCTGTTTTGTGCCGCCGGCTCCATGGTATTCCCGGACCGTTCCGGTGTGCTCTCCACCACTCGAGCCTCATGGGTCGTCATGACTGCATCCGGGGCGGGACGGAGCTGGACTCCTTGCAGGTCGAAGAAGGCCCTGCAGGTCGACTCCAGCATACTCCGAATTTCTTTGGCGCTGTTTTTCCCCTTCCCTAAGGCGATCATCGGCTCTGCAGTTTGAATCGCCATGACATCCCCCCATTTGTCCAGCAACTTGCTGAACAGATGGGTAACGTGTTGCACGGAACCCACTTGCCTCTGTCCCTGAACCTTGTTAATCTGCAACATGTGCGTGAAAAGGTGGTTGTCAGACACTCCCGTAACTTTTTACTCTTCTTAAATCATAGAGGCTCCTTACCCTGCCTTCCTCCAGAATTAGTTCCTCTAGGCAATCCCTCAAATCTTTCTGCACCGCTTCGGCGTGGCTGCCAGAGACCCTGTGACCTTGGCTGTATTCCACATCTAGTTGTTGAATAAGCCAGCTGCAAGGCAAGGGTGTCGCAAATAATCAATAACATGCGTCCATACAAACCGCACATCTGATTAAGGAGTGACACTTACTCGAACACCTCCTTGACATGATCGTTGTGGCGATGGGTTGGGATTGGAGATTTAGGGTCGAAGTGTAGCACACGCGTACGGTACTCTCCGCGGGGATGTGCTAACAAATCTTGCGGGTTCATCAGCACCATGAGACTGATCGCCGTCGAGTGAACAACAGGGACTCTGCGGTACATCGAAGTTTGGATTAGCAAGATAAGCTGGTGTCATCGACATACGTTGCGGATCCATGTCAAGAAACTCACTCTGATATCATGGGTATTAAAACCATTTGGTAGTCCAACAGCGACCGATGTTCGCTGCCACAACTGGGGACATGCGGGTAGGCAGACAACAAACGCCGATGCTTGGTAGGGGCCAGAATCTTGATGTCCCTGCGAACGCGAGGATCCCCGATCTTGTCCTTGGCACACTCCCTGCATCCAAGCCAACATGTCGCAGAGGTAAGAAGATAGCAGGTGCGTGTCTAAAAATACAAGGGTTTAACGTGCCGATGAAGTCGGCGTGCGTTACAAACCGCGCTTGGATACATACACAAGGCCGAAAAGTAACAACGCCTCGTTCCACTCTTCCTAACGAGTGACTAACATTTCATAAGACTCCCGCCCTAGTCGTACAGACAATCCGCAGCCATATGTGATTAACTGGGACGATATCGCGTAAGTAACCCAGAAGATGGGAGGTACCTCTATGGTTACTACCATACACTGTCCGCCTGCAGGATTTGAGGCCGACACTAGAATGAGAGGGAAGCTTGTGAGGAGGCTAGTCACGAGAAGTGAGAATGGATGAATGAACTATGAAAGAGTTGGGTACAAGTACTAACCCTAATTGGGTTGTACCCCATATGGGCTACCCCACTACAGCCTACACAAATGTATAAGCTATAATGTTCTGACACACCCCCATAGGCAAAGTTGGGGAGAACAAGTGGTCACAAGACCAGTCAAGCAAAGCAAAGCAAATCAAAGCAAAGCAAAGCAAGCTCAGGGTGGATCACAAAGTCACCACACAGTCCGAGCACAAGAGTAGGGCCACAAGGCCAGTTCACATGCAAGAACATATATATAAAGGTAAAAACAAGCAAGAGCAGGTATAGAAAGAATACAGTACAAACAAGATCAAGAAGTGAGCAAGTGAGGCTAGGTAGGCACAAGACCTAGCACAGTACAGAAACGCTGATGATCACAAGGCGGAAGGGCCCGGGTGAAGATATCAGCAGTATTGGCCTCAGAGGCCACGTAGGTGAGGCGGAGCTGACCACGCTGCTGCAGCTCACGAGACAGAAAGTAGCGGAGAGCAATGTGCTTCGTTTTGTGCTCCAGTCTGTGCTCCCGACACAAGGCCAGCATGGCCTTGTTGTCTACGTACAGAACTAGAGGAGAACGAGGCTGCTCTCCTAGGTCAGTCAGAAGGTAGGTGAGCCAGCGTAGCTCCTGTGCAGCCATGGCCCCTGCGTAGATCTCAGCCTCACAGCTGGAGCCGAGAACAGAGGACGAGCGGGTAGACCGCCACGAAACAGAGCCGGAGCCAAGGCTGAAGGTGTAACCCTGTGACGACCGCTGCGTAGCCTGGTCGTCAGCCCAAGAAGCGTCAGCGTGACCTGTGAGGAGTACTTGACGTCGCCCTCCAAGAACAAGCCCCATGCCCAACGTACTGCACACGTAGCGCAACACCCTCTTCGCTGCAGCCATGTGCTCTGGTCTGTGTCTCCCAGGAGCAACATAGCGTGCCAAGATGCTAAGAGGGTATGCAAGGTCAGGTCGTGTGCAGGTCATCAGGTACATGAGGCAGCCAACAAGCTCTGGGTACGGGCCACTCGACTCTACGGACTCATCCGAAGGCAGAGATGAGAGCGAGTGGCGATTAGACAGAGGAGTGGCCTGAGGCGAGGAGTACGTGAAGCCGAAGCACTGAAGGACCTGCTGCACCATGTGTGACTGAGTCAGGGTAATGGTGCGCTGTGCTCTGTCCCGAGTGATCTGCAAGCCAAGGTAGCTGCGCAGTTCACCCAGGTCTGTGCACGTGTGTCTCTTCTGCAGCTCGGACTTCACGTGGGCGAGTCCAGCAGTAGCAAACACCAAGTCGTCGACGTACACGAGGATGTAGAACGACGGCAAAGAGGTGTCGGTGCGTAGAAACAGCGACGGGTCGGCTGTAGAAGGAGCAAACCCAAGAGCCGCAAGTGTAGTCCTCAGTGTGTTGTGCCACTCACGGGGCGCCTGGCGGAGACCGTAGACTGGCCGCCGGAGGCTCCACTGGGTACCAGGAGGAAACGACCCAGTGAAGCCAGGAGGGCGGCGCAGCCAGATCTTCTCGTGCAGGCTGCCCTGCAGGAAAGCTGTGCTGAAGTCAAGAGAGTGAAGCTCGTAATCGCGCTGAGTGGCTATGTGCAGCAGCACCCAAAGAGTGGTCATCTTCGAGGTGGGAGAGAAGGTCTGAAAGTAGTCAACTCCCTGCCGCTGACTGAAGCCTCGAGCCACGTAACGCGCCTTGAAGACAGGCGGAGAGCCAGGCGGCCGCTTCACCCTGAAGATCCACATCCCACTGACGATGTTCGCCCCAGGTGGGGTAGCCTTGTCGACGTAGGTGCGTGTGGACTTCCAGGAAGCCATCTCTGCGTCCATGGCCGACTGCCACTGAGAGGAGTAGGGACCCTCGATCGCCTCAGCGTACGATCGAGGAGTCGGGATGTTTGGTGCATCCGGGTCTCCCTCAGGGGCAATCAGCGAGGACACGAGATGGGGCAAAGCAGCCGCAAAGCACTGGAACTCCTCCTGCCTGTCCTCAAGGACGTCCGTGCTAAGAGCACACTCACCCCCGACGGACGGAGGACAGACAGACTGGCAGCGTAGTCTAGACGACAGCGAGCAGCGAAGTCGACAAGCTCAGCAACTAGAGCAGACGCAGCAGAGGACTCAAAGGTAGGGTCAGTGACAATAGTAGCAAGAAGGCGCGTGACCGAAGGACTAGCAGCACGAAGGGAGTCGGACTCCGGGTCAGCAAGCGAAGGAAGAGAGGACTCTGGAGGAGACGGCAAAGGGACACGCAGAGGAGCAGTGGACGGACGCAGTGCCATCTGGTGTGTGCCGGGATCTGCAGGAGGACACAAACGCGCAGTACGACCACTAGTGCGAGCAGCACGAGCAGGCGACGCAGGACGAGACGCAGGACGAGACGCAGGCTCACGAGGCTCAGCAAGACCTCCAGTAGGACCAGTGTAGGGAGAAGGAGCAGGTAGCGGGGACGCGGGCTGTAACTAGGACTGCGACTGGACAGGCTGCGGACACTCTAAGGGAGGAGCAGGACTAGTAGAGGGAGGGAGACCAAGAACCTGTTCCAGGAGGGGAACGAAGTACAGCCTCGGCCGCGCAGCGCCTCCAGAACCAGCAAGGACGGCACCAGGACCCCCAGGGGCAGCACCAGCGCCAGCAGAACCTCCAGCTCCAACAGCGCCAACTCCAGGACCCTCAGAAGCACCAGTGCTAGCAGCACCGCCAGCGCCAACACCCCCAGTAGCTCCAACTCCAGTAGAACCGTCAGCACCAGCTGCCTCAGCAGCACCCCCAAACGCACCAGCAGAAACACTAGCGCCAACACCCCCAGCAGCTCCACCTCCAGCAGCACCTGCACCAACAACAGCTCCAGCAGGACCAACTCCAGGAGCTCCAGCAGCACCCCCAGACCCAGCACCCCCAGACCCGGCACCCGCAGACCCGCAACCCGCAGGCTCAGCACCTCTAGCAGCACCAGAGTCAACAGCTACCTCGACAGGCTCGACTGCGTCTACCTGGGACACACCTGAAGGGGCAGGACCCTGAGGAGGGAGGGGGTCTACCTGGGTAGGACCCGGCGCAAGGAAGAGCGGCGGCGGGGGGAGGGGCGCAGTGCGGTAGGGGAAGAGACGGTAGTAAGCCACCGACTCGTCAAAGGTGACGTCTTGGGAGGACAGAACACGGCGCGAGGTGGGGTGGTAAAACCGCCAGCCAGGCGCATCGGGGGGGAAGCCAAGGAAGACGCAGGGAACAGCACGGGGGGACAGCTTGTCCGCAGACGAGTCGCGGACAAACGCCTGAGATCCCCAAACCCGAAACGCAGACGCATCGCCAACCTTCCCGGTCCACCGCAAGGCGGGGGAGGTCTCCGGCAAGGAGACCCGGGGCTGCAGGTTGAGCTGATGCGCGGCGTACTGAACCGCAAACGGCCACAGAAAATGGGGGGCAGCCGCATGTATCATGGACGTACGAGCGACGTCCATGACCATGCCAATGCGGCGCTCAGCAATCCCATTTTGCTGTGGAGAGGCCGGAAGCGTGAAGGTCTGGCGGATACCCTGTGCACGACAGAAGGCTCCCAGAGGCGCAGAGGAAAACTCCCCGCCTCTGTCCGAGTGCAGATGGAGAACAGGAAAGTCCGAGCCGGAACTCTCTCTGAGCTGAAGACGAGCTGCGCGGATCCAGTCGATCAACACCTCAGTGACGTCACCCTTGCTGCGCAAGGGGAAGACTGTGGTGTAACGCGAGTAGTCATCAACGACCAGCAGAAAGGACCGCTCTCGCCCCTGCCCACTGACGCGGGCTGGGCCCCACACGTCCATGTGGAGAGTCTGCAGCGGAGCCTCTGTCGGAGGAAACTCGGAGGAGTGAGGGGCGGCGTGTCAAATTATAATATTGTGTAGGCTATAGTGGGGTAGCCCATATGGGGTACACATTTCTAGGGTTGCATAT